TTTATATCAGGCGTCTTCAAACTTGGCCCTTTTATGACTTGTGGACTTCAACTCCCAGAATTCCTCAGCCAGCCAAGTCATAAAAGGGCCAAGTTTGAAGACACCTACCTTATATTGTATAGTGCAGTGGTGGCGAACCTATGGCACCCGTGCCAGAGGCAGCACTCAGAGCCCTCTCTGTGGGCACCCGTGCCATGCCCTGGAGATGGAACCGTCCCTCTTCAACCAGCTGCCCGCTAACTCGCCGAGGTCCCATGTGGCCAGATGCATTCCAGCACGGCTGGTTTTCCTCCCCCCTGTCCCATCTCTCCTGGCCTCGCATGTTCTCCTTTTCCCGGGGAACAACCCACTACATCGCCTCCTCAGCTGTTGGCTGGCTGGCCAGCTCAGAGGCAGCTTCTCTGAACTGCTGGCAGCAGGCTGCGGATCCCCAGAGTGCGCCAGTCGAGGGGCCAGCAGGCTGTGGCTGCTGATGGCCACTGTCAGTCCCCATGTGCTCGCTGGCCTTTGTGTTCAGGGGCCAATGGTGTCAGGCAGGAGATACCCCAGCCCCTGCCTTGCCTTGTGACAATGGCACCCCCACCCTGCCTCACCTCACCCCACAGGATGAGCCTCCTGCCCACCACCCCACCTGCCTGAGACCCCCTGGATCTCCCCCAATCCTCCCCGGCTCCCACAGGTGTCCCTCCTCACAAGCAACATCGAGGTGACCACGCCCACCTTGGCCATATCCAACCAGTCTGCCATGACCACCACAGCCACGCCCACCCAGTGGGCCACACCCACCTGGCACCTGGTGATAAATAAGTGGGTTTTGGGTTGCAGTTTGGGCACTCGGTCTCTAAAAGGTTTGCCGTCACTGGTATAGTGTATGTAACCCTTCTCATATTGGCCTATGTTTTTTTTTTCATGTTAGGAGAAGCCTTTCCAAATTCTACAATGATGGTCTTTGTCTTAGAAACACACTGGTGAACATTCTATAGAGTAAAGTGTAATTGTTATGTTATGATAAAGCTAGTAATATCACAAAATATTCAATACAATCTTAACAATGACTTCTAGATTGTGTATTTCTGTTTTTTTCTGTCCATGTACACACACACATATTTCTAACTCCAAATAACATCAAGTATCATGGTATTTATGGAAACTATTATGCAAAATGTCAGTATCAGCAGTGTTAAATTCCAAGTTATGAGGATTTCCTATTTCCCAAATAGTGGGCCTAAGCAAGGTGGGGCAGCACTAACTGATTTAGTGATGTAAAAAAAAAAGCTAACTAAAGTTAATTTCAGATACTACTACTACTACTACTACTACTACTACTACTACTACTACTACTACTACTACTACTGCTATAGTCATGTTGGGAGTGCTGAAGTGCTTATAGGATTAGCCAGTGATGCAACCATTGCGCAGGGGACTTCCAAATGGAGGGTCCTTTCATGTCCCCATTAAGCTGCCCACAGAAGTGGTACCCATCTGTCTACTCACAGTCACCAGCTTTCAAACTGCTGGGTCAGCAGGAGCTGGAGTGAGTGATGGGAGCTCACCCTGTCCCATAGTAGCAACTGGGTTTCAAATGCAAGCGTCCTAACCATGTGAGCCACCATATTTCTATAAATTCCAGTTAACATTTAAATTGGAAATTGTCCGAAAATTCTAGCCTTGTAACCTGGGCAGGGAAGTGGAAAATCTACCCTAGAAAGCAATAGCAAACTGCTTCCATATTGTAGCCAGAAAACTATAAAAGTGTATCCATTAGGGACTGAGCTCAGTATCTTTTTTTGTTGTTAGTTGCAAAGTCGTGTCCGACCCATCGCAACCCCATGAACAACGTTCCTCCAGGCCTTCCTGTCCTCTACCATCTTCTGGAGTCCAATTAAGTTCACGCCTACTGCTTCAGTGACTCCATCCAGCTACCTCATTCTTTGTCGTCCCCTTCTTCTATTGCCCTCAATCTTTCCCAGCATTAGGCCCTTCTCCAGTGAGTCCTTCCTTCTTTAAATGCAATGGAATATGATTCTAAGTAAACAATGTAAGCATATAAACATATATACATGGAAAAGTCTGTGTACTATGAGTATATTACAATGATATATGTACTGTGCCTTCACTGGACTACAGATGGATTCAGAAGCTTGACATTTTACTCTGATCCCTTAGACTTCACCAAAAGATTTTTCTATATTTAGTTTCTAGAATGAACAAACATTTGGTCTCCAAAATAACTTGTAAGGCTCAAGAAAAATTATCCAAACACAACTCTGGATATAGATACGGTAGCTAGACAGAGATTTCCTTAGCATATATGATAATTTTGTTTCTTTTTTCTGGTTTAGAGGCCTCTAAAGCTAGAAAATTAATAGTCATGTGCAAGTGTTCCTATTCCTCTTTAGAACTATTTTACTCCTATTCATCTAGTTCAGAATCACCTAAAATACAAAGGGCACGAATAGAGCACCTATGACTATGGGAGTCCACAGTGGCATAATAGTCAGTAATTTCTGAAGGTAGAAAAATCTATCAGATTGACAGGAAGCTCTAATGAACAACAACATCAAGATAAAAAGTAAAAAGGAGAAAAAGACAACTTGCCTAATTCACAACAATGTTAACTAAGGAACCTTAGAGACTAATAAATTGCTGCTGTACCGAAAAAGGCACCGAAAAAATATGAATACAACTACATCTTACAAAGACAATAGACCTGATCCAATTTTGGCACAGTCAAGTAGGAAGGCATTTACAAAGCAGACTCAAAAAGCAAATTAAGGAGTAAATTCTTTCTTGGGTCCCACATCAGGACTCCCTGACTCAGCTCCCATTCAGACTTACCTAAAAAATGGTTAGCTTGAGGAGGTCATTTCATCTAAAGTTAAAATAATGGATCAATGATAGGATCAGATATCTATTTATAGTAACAAATAATGCCTTAGGATAGACCCTTTGTTACTAGTCAAATATAAAGTGAAGCTTTTGATTTTATAAACTGTGATAGAGTTGCTTTGGGGTGATTTGGTGGGGTGGATTAACAAATATCTTGTTTAATTAATTTAAAATATTTATATTTTATGCAGCCTGAAAGACTCTCAGATCTTATTATTTCCACTCAGTCACTTCTTTAATATATTATGTTACAGCTTGGGTCCCCTTCAGCTATTTTGGAAGGCAGTTATATGAAAATCTATACGATGCTTGAATATCCATGTTAGATATGGTATGGAATTTACTACCCACATACTAACATACTAACTGAACTAATGCTTTTACACAGATATTAGAATCTGTTTTATTTCCCTTATTCTAGTAAAATATTCAAGTCATTCTGATACCTTTTACATACAAATTCTTCTTTCCCATCAGAGCGACGCTACCCTCCTGGAGATTGCCAAATTCTCTTAGGCTGCCAGCCAAATTCACTAATCCCCATTCCTTAACACTGTATAACTTTTGAACAGAAATATATGTATAGACAGAAATAATAAACAAATATTGTAAGATCTATCTTAGAATTTTAGTTTAATGTCTTAGTTTTAGATAAATAACATTCTATTTCTTAACTTTAGTGACACAGCTGATACTGGTCATAATAGAGGTAATAATATTCAGTACTATTTTTTATCTTGTTTTTTATATTTATTCTTTCTATTTTACTTTTAACAGCTTGTTAATTTTTTCGCCAAGTTTTTTATTAATTTTACAATATTACATTTACATATTTGAAAAGTAGCGTGGTGGCTGAGCACAGTAATTCCATTACATTTGAATATCATCAGTACAAATCTCAAAGTATTACAACAACTAATTCACTCTCTTTCCCCCATAATATCTACTGTCATATTGGAACCAATACAGTTCTTTGTAAACATTCAAACTTTTAGCCAATCAGTAACCTGATGGTTAATTTTCTCTTAATATTTTAATTTAACATTTAATATTTATTTTTTCCAGATTTTTAATTAAACACAATTCCTTTATCACAATTCCTCATACATTCTAATATTTAAAATACACACCTTGTATATAAATTCTACCATCTATCTTACCAATCTAATAAGACAGTATAATATTCTTATTTCAATAAATTTCTAGATTTTATGTGACCAAAATTTTCTTTATCTCAAATTGTTACAATATCTTGTATTCATAGAATACATATTCTATCCATTTAAATATATTCTATTTTAGATCTCATATATAGATCAAAACCCCAATCTTTTTCAATCTTATTCTAGCTTTTTTTCCTGCCAAGTCATTTTTCCATATCTTTGCCTTTAAATCATCAAAAAAGTATCCTTGTATTGTTGTAGCTATTGTTTGATGTTGATAAGAGCATCCAGTTGATGTTTTCTTAAGAGGACTAGTTGATTTAGCTGGTAGTCTCTTTGTTTTTCCAGTTCGATGCAGTTGTCCCGAAGTATTTAACTTCTCTTTCATCTGTTTTTCTTTTTTCTTTTCAAATTCCTTCTGGTTTATAAGAAAAGTCCTTTCCCTGTTCAATATTATCAATTTCTTTTTGTGTTTTCCATTATCTGTATTTGTTGAGTATCTAAGTCTTCTGTCATAGCATTTAGTTGTTTCACTTTCTCTATAGAATTCTGTATAGATAATTCTTTGGTTGAAGTCATAGTTTGAGTTTGCATATCCAGACTTATACGTAAAGTTTGGATCATCGCTTTTAACATACAAAGACTTTGTTCCTGTACTTCCTCTGTAGAAGAAATCCATTCCTGTTCTTCTTCCACTGTAGTATATTAAACTCAAAAAAAAGAAACTTACAATCAGAAAGTCCACCAAATGGGGAGCTGAGTTTTTTGCAGATGGTGTTTCAAGCTTGCTTTATATCTTATCTATTTTCAAAGCTGTCAACAAGTCTCTTGAAGAATAGCAGGTTACGTCTTATAGTTAGTTGGATCTTTTTAGCCCCACCTCTATTTTAAGAGGGAAAAACCCCAAATCTTCAATAGTAATTAGAGTGAAAATCAGAGAAGAAAAATATAGAAAGTAGAAAGTTACAAATCTTATAATCCACCAATTTTAGGAAATAGGATTCCAATTAAGATCTCAGTATTTTTCCAATGTTTTAAAACTCCCAAGTGGTTGATAGCTGCTGTTTCTGGAGGGAGGGCTAGAATCCCCCTTCCCTCACCACAGGGGGGAAAGTACTTTAGCAGCTTATGCAGGTAATTAAGTAATTAGGATGTAAGAGAGGCAAACCTCACCCAGTCCTGTCCACGCTGCTTTGAAGTTGCCAGATGGTAATGTGACTTCGGCTGTTAGCAGCCTAGGGACGAGCCATATTTCTATGGCTGGTCCTTTCATCTGTCGGTTTGGAGGGATCGCCTTCTCTGACGGGAGAGTTGCTGTTCTCCCGTGATCCAGCGAAAGCCCCTCCTTGCTGGTCACCTCTTCGGGACAACTTTTGGCCCTTTTAGGCCCCCCCAGCGATGCGAAACTGAACGGGGGAGAGAGAGCAAGTCTCCCAGCCATCCATGGCGGCCGCACGATGAACCAGAAGCCTTTAACAGCTTGTTAATTGTTTGCTTTATACTGGCTATTCGCTAAAATAAACTTTGAACTGAACTGACATAGCTTTTTTTATTATTATGTTAGATTTTTTTGTAATCTGTCTTTTTATTTTTTCTCTCTATGTGTCCACTCAAGATGATGATATTAATACTGTACATCTGCCTTCTATTTTCCCCACAATATCAACTTTGTGAGGTGGAGTGGGCTAAGAGAGAGTGACTGGCCCCAGGTCAACCAACCAGCTTTTATGACTAAGAGAGGCCTAGAATTCGCAATCTCCTGGTTTCTAGGACACTACCTTCACCACATCAAGCTAGCTTGAGTGGAAGCTATGGGTTTGTTCTCCTATGTTGTGCCATGCGTTTATGGAGCAGTGAGCCATGTGCAGATCTGTACATTGGGGAAACAAAACAACCACTCCATAAACACACGGCACAACATAGGACAACAAACCCTTCAGGACAAGATTCGGCAGTCTATCTGCATTTAAAAGACCAAGGCCACTTTTTGGAAGACAGCAAAGTCCACATTTTGGACAGAGAGGACCCCTGGTTTGAAAGCGGGGTCAAAGAGGCCCTCTATGTCAAAACTGTACAGCCCTCTCTCAACAGAGGGGGAGGGTTATGCATCATTTATGTTTAGTCTACAACACAGTTCTTTCAATAGTTCCAAGAAGGCTCCACACCCATTTGCACTACTCAGGTGACCCTCAGATAAACCTCCAGGGGGCCTCAACGACTCTCTAAAAGAATGCAAATGACCAGCTATCTGCAAGGACTATAAATCCTTCCATTTCCCCATCATCCAGTCAGAGCTGAAGAAACTTCTTGAATGAGAAGCAAAACGTCTTCAAAGAAAAACAGGAAAGTCCAGATGCCTTGTGAAAAAGCATCTTTGGGACACCTAAGTGCTATTGCTATCCTTAATTTTCCTTTCTTCACTATGGAGTTGACCCTAAAGCAGCTGAACCGGAGGTGACCCATACACTTTTGGGAAGGAGAAACCTTTCCATATTGCAGGAAAGAAGAGCCAATAGCACAAGCTACCTTTCTCTAACTGGGTTTCCTATTAACAGATTCTAAAGCAAATGACTTAATGTAGTAAATCTGAAAAATGAATTAATAAATGAATGAGGGAATACTATTTCACTAAGTTCCAGAAAACAGTTTGCTGCCATCTATTGATCAAGCATCCCAGAGTGAATCATTACTGTGGAATCCTAACAGACTCAGTACCAAGACTATTCCCTCTCTCTCCGCTCTCCCTGAGGGCCAAAAAGGGCAAGTGCCTCCAGAATCCGCTGTAGTACAGTCTGTTTGTTCCCATAAGCTTCCTGCCAAGAGAAATGTCACTCAAAACAATTCTAACCAACCCAGATAATCCCAAGAAGATACTGTCAGGTTTTATCAACCTGTGCAAAAGGGACTTTCTGAATCTGGCCTTGGTTTGCATGCTGTATTTGCCAGCAACATGTATGCTGCTTCTGTAAGAAACCAGGAGAAGTGGAAAGAACGGTTCTTTGCTTATTTCCTTTGTGCAGTTTTTCAAAGGAAATCAAACTAGAAACACATTTGTTTTCCCCAGAGGAATTGACTGTTCCAGTTTCTCTATTGGTACCTCATGCTGTTGCTAGGCTGCGGCTTCAGTTAGAGATTTTCACTCTCCCCCTCCAAATGTGTCTGAGATTTTCATTCGTTTGTTAAACACACCTCTGGAATTATATTCTGATGTTTCTTAAATGTGAGTCACCTAATGAACATCTTTGTTTTTCAGCCTATTCTAACAAGCCCTGGGTCATCACTGGAGCACATATTAAGTAGTCTATGCTTGCAAATGTTCATCTATTCTGGATAGTGGAAAACAGTATATGATTGTTCTTGTGCTATTTTTTGTTTTTCTGCTGTCTTAATAATTTCATCCTGATTGAGGCATTTCTACAAATGTGTGGTGATATTTCAAATGACATTTTTTCATTGCTTTTTTCCTTATTTCAAAAGCATGAACAGTTTAATCTGATGTGAAGCTTTCCATAATCAATTGATGGAGCATCTTTTTGGTATCAAAGATCTGATACCAGAAACAAATGGAATATGATTGAGCATGTTTCTATGTCCCTGAAAAATGGAAAAAAAATCCTACAAAAAGGCTTTCTAGGCAGATAAGTGCAACTTGTCAGGAAAAAAAATCCATCTTAGATTATGACATTACTATATAAAAATAGTACACCAAAAATAAATACATAAAAACAAAACATAGGTTTAAAAACAGACTAATTACATGACACATGCTCAACATTCAGTTTCATCAATATTCATTATATCTAGAATTAGCAGACACCAGATAAGATAAAGCAGATGCAAACTCTTATAAAATACTAGAATAATAGAAATATTAAGTCTTAGAAATTCTGTTTAATGCAGTCAACAAAGAGCTCACCTAGAATGTATATCAAATACTTCCATAATGAAGTCATTTTTAGATTTGGGTAACAACTTTGAAAATTAAACTCTGTTAAGCAGTGTCCAATAAAAACTGCAGACATTTATTCCCTCTTACTTTTTTTTAAACTTCTACATTATGGAGGAAATTCTATTGAAAAAGAAGAAATACAGTCGATTCCAGGGACAATATATCATAACTTTAAGAACTGTGAATGGAAATCCCAACAACCATCAATAAAAATATAATTGCTTTAACTGAAAAACATGCCCATAGATTTGATTTGTACATTGGAAGGAATGGTTCTTCATGCCCAAAGCCATGAAGAGAACAGGGAATCATCCTGAGAATACAGATACATAAAACCTAATGGCTGCTTGTCTTCAAGCCTCAGCACAGCAGGGTTAAATTCTCTTTCCCTTTTTGTGTAATTGTAGCATTGAAAAGAGGGCAGCCATTGACCAAGCCATCTGATTGCCCAAGGTCTTGAAAGTACAGTGATGTTACATCAACATTGTCTGGATGTTGAGTCATGACAACTGGACTTATTTTATTATTGCTTTGAAATGGTTCACTGTCCATCCAAACAAGCTTCTTCAGTCTGAACAAGTTGGTTAGGGAAATCTGAGTAGGCAGAGAATCATTGGAATGTGCCGGCTCCTAAAATTCTTAGGGGTATTCCTCAGGGTTTCTTCCCCAAAGTGTGTGGCAATATGTTAATGGAGATTTTCAGTCATCCAGGCAGAATTGTCTGGAAATTGAGTCATGGCAACTGGATTTATTTTCCTGTTGGTGCAGAAGAAACCCTGAGGTTGGTGTGAGAATTTTAGGAAATGGCGCATTCCAACGACTCTCTGCCGACTCAGATTCCCCTAACTAACTTGTTCAGACTGAAGAACTGCTTGGATAGGCAGTGAAATGTCTCAAACCAGTAAGAAAATAAATCCAGTTGCCAGACAATTCTACCTGGAGTACTGAGAACCTTATCGACATCCTGTTTGAAAAATAGAGGAATAAGAAATGAAAAGGCCAGACAAAATTTGGGGATCCTAAAACATTGAAGCTTTTAATGCAGAGAAAAAAAAAACCACATAGATCGCAAAAATTAAGAAAGGAGATGAGAAAAGCATTCCTCTATTTTTATACATGTAATCAGACATATACTATGACACAGCTTTTATGTGAAATTATATTAACTACATTTTCTCTACTTGAAAATTTCTGATGAATTAGATATCCAATCACAAACAATGCTTTGTGATTTTTCCTAATAAGAAACACTGTTAACTAGAATAAATAATCCTATATTCCATATGCCTATGTTTGTCTGTTGCAATTCTAAAAGGACTGAATATACATCGCCTTACTTAAAGAGAAGATCCTTAATATAGCATTACTCAAATAAAACAAGGACTGGCTAAGCCACATATATACACATGCAAATGTCTGTAATTATTACAAAGGGGGCGATGTTTCTTATCCTGATGAATGTCCTAGAAAGGTGAATTTAAACAGTTGTAGATGTAAAGAACAGAAACTGGAATTATCATGAATTTATAAATTTAAGTTTAATTCTGAATGGCTACTTTTAACATTTTCTACAACAAAAATAGAATTCAGTTGACAAGTCTGAGGTCGGAAGGTCAAACCTTGTCTCCTTAACTGAAGTAGTTAAGATACAACTCTAGCTTTTATATTAATACTCATCACTGAAAATATTCCTTCCCTTTTCCCATTTCTGTGACCTCTTTCAAACAACAAAGACTACATATGAGATACAGTACAACTACTGTAGGTAGGGAGCAGAAGATGGCCTCTGCTGCTCAAATCTTGGGATACTTTAGCTTCCTCACACTTTTATAAACCCTGGAGCCAGTATGTTAAGTCCCTGGAAATTCTTTTTCCCCCCTTTCTTTTAATTAGAACACCAGGTTTTAGAATACAGAGTTCTATTAGTGATAAATCAATGATAAGGTAAGAGGTACAAATGCAAGAAATCCATGTGCTATAAGCATTTGCTCAGTCCAGCAATTCCTTTTATTATCAGAACTAACTTTACTTTTTTGCACACACACAAAAAAAAACCTTACTTCAGATTTCCCCTTCCGCACACCATTTCATCTTCATTTCAACATCCTAATTCAGTCTTTTTGTTGTTTTCGTTATAGAGTTGGGAATAAGAAACCTCCCATTGCATATCCCTTTGAAATTTACCAGGGGATGCTAATTTGCCTTTGACTTATATCCTTTGGAATTATTCAAAAGACTGCTTGTCTATGAGTAGGAAATTCTATACTGCACTTGACAGGCTACTGCTAAAAATTTACAGTGCAATGATTGCTAAGGACAACATTTTAAATTATTTCCCCTTAATCCATTCAATTAATTATGTCACCTCATTTTATGCATTTTTGCAATTTTCAAGCAAATGAGAGGCATGTATGTCCTCAAGAAAAGAGCTCAGATGTCATTTTTCATTACAGCAAGAAACAGAAGACAGCCCCAACTGCTAAGAACAGGGATAGATATAGCAAAGGAATTAGCTATCCACTGACTCACTTGAAATTAGATGCCAGATGTCTAGGAACTAAAGATCTAGTAATAATTCTCTATTTTCCAAGATACTGTATGTAGAATGTTAAATAAGGATGTTTGTATTTTAAAAATATTTTTAAAAGGAAATATTTTTAGAGGAATGTAAAAATGCAGATCTCACACCACTAAGAACCCTTCTCTCTCATCTGGTGGATTTGTCAGATAGGCATCAAGCTCAAGAACAGTATTCACATTTTTTAAAGGTTTATATTTATTTTTTGCACATACATTGTTTTGGTGCCATTTCCTCAGCACTGCTTAACTTTTTGTTAATTTGAGTCTTATGCTTCAGTCAAAAGTTGCTGGAGATGAAATGAAGCAGATTATAACTATGGGATGTCTTCTTAAATGGGGATGCGTCACTATAGTTAAAACTTTATGAGGAGTTGCTGTCCTAACATACAATCCCTGCTGTTTTGAAGGTGGTGGTAGAAAAAGCCCCCTCAGCAATTACTTATGTGCTCCTATAAAACTGGATATGAGTTCAGAATATATTACATAAATATAAAAATTCATAATGACATTTAGCATGATTCTATCTCCCCAAGGAATCTTAAGCACAGGATGCCAATTTAAGGGATATATGCCCTTTATACTCCTAAGATAGTATGAATGTAGTTTCTATTCACTCTGTGTACTCATTTTTTATGAAAAGTGTACATCTTTTCATATGATTTTCATGCAGCTGTAGACCAAATTTAACTGTGCTCTAAAAGAAGATACATATCTTCCCTACATAGCTTTCAGAGAAATTGGCAAATCCTTAAGGTACCTAAACACTTATTGGTAAGTATTTTTAAGTATGTTTAGTATCTTCAACCTGAACTTCACCAAAGGAATTTTAAAAACAAATCCACTTATAAAGTGCACACATAGCTAATTAATTTTTCCTAAATGTTTGAGCTTTTTCAACATTATTTATGGATCAAAGCTTCGTTAATATATAGTAGCTGCATGCTGAAATTTAAGACAGCTTATTCTAAGACTCTTTTCTTATTTCTAGTTTACTTGGGTCCATTGAGGATTTCCTTCTCAGCCAGGAAAATATCTCTGTATTCCTTATGGATTACTTCAAAATTACTTGCTTAGCCTGTAGGAACAAGTTTCCAGTTGGCCCATTTGGATCTCTCTCTATATCAATAATGAACATGCTACAAATTTAGCCCTTAATGGTTTGGTGAGAAGCTAGCATGGCTACCACTCAGGCACAGCAAGCTGCAGCAGTTCCAAATGTTAGCTGTCCTCTTCCTTGAACGTTGGCTATGCCATACAGTACAGAGGAATACTGATAGCCAACCACTTATGTAAGTCATCATAGACTAAAAGCCAATGCTAACACAGACCAAGGAGCCTTAAGTGAAATTCGACAAACAACGTAGTCCTTGAGTTCCTGGAGGAAAGATGGGATACACTTCTAACAAATTTTATAACAAGAAAGAGACAGAAAGGCTATTGCTAGCTGCACAAGACTTAGCCTTAAGAACAAATGCCGATAAAGTCAGAACTGAGAAAACAGCAACAGGCAGCAAATGCCATCTCCGCAAAGAAGCTGAAGGAACAGTGGACCACCTAGTTAGTTGCTGCAAGAAGACTGCACCTACAGATTTCAAATAACAGCATGGCAAAGTATCAACAATGTATTGCAATAGCTGCAAGAAATACCATATGTTTGCAAGCAAGAAATGGTGGGACCACCACATAGACAAAGTTGTAGAAAATGAAGATGCTAAAATGCTCTGGGACTTTAGAATTCAAATAGACAAGCACCTGCCACATAATACCCCAGACTTAACAATTGTCAATAAGAAAGACAAAAATGTCTGGATAGTAGATGCATCACTCGGCAGTATCCAGGGACAGTACAAAAAAAAGAGAAAAGAACTGGAGAACAATCATAAAATATAAAGACCTGCAAATGGATATAGAATGACTGTGGCAAAAGAAAGCAAAGATAGTACTAATCCCAAAACAAAAATTACCATCAATTGCAGAAGACAGCTTTACTTGGAACATCATGAGACATCATGAGACAATACATTTAACACCATCACTGGCCCATCCCAGGTGCTTGGGAAACACTCTATAGATGGATAAAAAATGTGAAACCCAGTCTAAACATCTGGCTGACTGTGCAACTAGCCATTATAATAAATCCTTCAACTTCTATTTTGTGAAGAAGCATTTGTCCCCTTTTGAATTTGGCTTATCTTACCACTGAACTTCATAGTGCTTGATGTAAATTCTACAGATACATAATGGGGATCTAAATGAATTAATAACAACATTTTGTATTTTTTTAATCTACCCAACTATAATTCATAATGTGTAATACTAAGAATTTCTAGGCTCTCTATTAGGATGAAAAAGAAATCACAGATGCTCTAAGAATCTTCATAATGGTAATGGTTTTGATTTGGATAGTATAACTGGGGAAATGATAAAACTATGATTATGAATTGCTCATGGAAGAGCTGATCTACCTGTTTAATGTACATGAGTATTCTATGTTTTTGCTTCACAATTGCAGAAATGTTGATATTGTTCTCTTATACAAACAGAAATTAGCAAGAGTGAATGCAAAAAAAAAAAAAACACTGCAGAGGAAGAGATTTCAGCATACTTGTGAAACTGATTTGTGAAATTCTAACTGAAAGAGTTTGAAATAAGAAAGAGCAAAAGTTGGGAAGTACACTATAGTGTTATGCCAGGCCGAGGATGCATAGTCCAGAATTTTGGCTTTCAACAAGTCATCACGGTGTATGAATTTGTGAAAGTTCACTCCATTTTTTTACTGATGAAAGATTATGAGAAGGTAAAACATATGATAAAATTAATTGGGATTGAATTATGGAATTTGTACAAAGATGGAGCTCAAGTTTTGTTACTGAATATAATTATAGCCAGGGCTTTTTTTGTCATAGAACGCCCAGAATGGAGTTCCGGCACCTTTTTTGGATGGAATCTTGTAGGGCAGGCAAGGCGGGTTGTATGACATGTGTGAGTGTTCCAGCACTTTTTTTTTTTTACAAAAAAAGCACTGATTATAGCTAATGATGGAAACAAAGCAACCGTGAGAATAAATGAAGTAATATGTAAATGGCTCAAAACTGAGCAGGATTTGGTGACCAGAATGCAGCAACCCAATTCTTCCCTCCTGCAATTTTGCCATGGTCTGTCATGTAACAATTTTGCTACTGACACTTCTATTAATTTGGTATAACATTGTATCTCCTCTGAAAAAATGCCTTCAATACTCTCAATTTTGAGAAATACTTGGTATCCAATATAGTTTATATTGAAACGATGCCAGTATGTTTGAATGTTGATTGGAAGCCAGATTTCATTTACAAATTTGGAGCAGACTTTTGAGAACAAAGGCATCCTTTTCTTTGGGGCATG